ATTAAAGTTGCTGTGAGAACCGACTTCCTTTTTGTCTCAGGAAGGTGACCTTTAGAGTGGCAATGCAGAGACCTTTTCCCCAGAATGCAAAGGTATAAAAAGATAGTCATTACATAAACAAAAGGTAAATACATGTGCGCACATAGGTTAATGTTAATGCAGAATGTGAATACAGACAGTGCCACAAAGCGGAAATTCAGTTGTTAAAGACAAAGACAAAAAACAGAATAAATAGCAAGAAGATCAATACCAAATATGATATAGAAAAGGCAAAATTAGAATAGACATAATATCCAAATATCTCCCTGCTGAAAATCAAATAACCGCCAGCGCATTTCGTAGACTGTTCCAGCATAAGCTGCACTACATGTAGATACTACTGTATGCCATTTTCAGTGTATGCATGTGTTCTCATTTTTACGCTTTTTAAGTACTTACTCTAGTGACGTTCACTCTTTGTGGAAAATAATTAACTAATGACTGTTTATTATTATGTGTATTTTGAGCCACTCTCTTTTAGAAAAATGTCAATATGGTGACATAATGTCATTAAAGACTTCTGATTGTTTTAAGAACATATGAACTCAGACCGGTCGGCTGATATTTTTGGCTGATTTGTTTTTTTTTCTTAGATCAGTATCGGCTAGTATGTGTTGGCTGATGCATTAGAGCAGGGGTCACCAACTTTTTTAAGGCTGATGGCTACTTTATGGGTACTGAGTCATAGGACGGGCTACCAATACTGACCTATGAACTAGAGGAGTCGGCGTTCACCTGAACTTCATAGATAATAAACATTTCTATTGTTTCTTTTCATTTTTTATTTGCTTTTAGATATTCTCATTAAGAAATCCATATAAATCCTCAAATGTTCTAATTTATTGATATGATAAAATGCTTCATAAATGCTTCAAAATAAGAGCTTCAGTAAAAAATAACATTTCAGAATTAGTCCACTGGTAAATTGTTCTGTTTTCAAAAGATGCTGAGGGCACCCAATGTGTCAGGGTTAGTTGAGGTTTGAGGACCCAAACGCAGAGGCTGAGGTGATTTCTTGTGGATTTAATCAAAAAGGTAAACATAGTGATGTTATGAGATGAGCTTTGAGGCATGTGTCGAGTAATGGAGGGGGCGTTTCCCCGAAGCGCGTGTCGAGGCGTGATTCAGTTAGAGGCGGGGCCAAAATTAATGACGTCTGAGGCCTCGCTACTGTGATACCACGTGACCGCTTCGGGAAGTGGTTCGGGAAGCGCAAGAATTTTGACAGGCATCTAAACAGCCTCAGTGTTCAGTCAAGATGTGGGAGTTTGGAGGAGAGCTGCTGTCAGCTGGATAAAGTTTGGATAGATTCTAAGAATAGATTGGTTGTTTTTCCAACCAATCTAGTTGCTTAAAACTAACTTGGTTAGAATAAACAATGTAATGATCAAAATTTGAGCAAACCACCGGACAAAGTCAGTGTTAACACGTTGCTGTTAAGTAGTATTTTCTCCCTGCTACGATCATCTGCATAGGTGGCGTCAGCTGTAAGAGACAGGCTCTCACTGTAGAAGTTGATGGTTCAAGACCTGCCTTTAACTTTTGAAATTTACGATTAAACTGGCTGATGAGACTAATTTGCATTGTTTTGCCCGAGTAAAAATATAGATTGGGTAAATTAG